GGTTAGCAAAGCTTGCCAAATAGCACACCTCTAATGGAAACAATTGCAGTGGTACCTTGGTTTCGCAGTTGCTAATATGGGGATTCTTTCTGTTTGCCTTGTTTCTTTTTTAAGATTTTATTTATTTAATTATTGATTTTTAGAGGCAAGGGAAAGCAGGGAGAAAGAGAGGGACAGAAACATCAATTGGTTGCCTCTCGCAGGCCCCCAAACAGAGACCCGGTGTGCAACACAAGCATGTGCCCTGACCAGGAACCAAACCAGCAACCTTTCAGTCTACAGGCTGGTATCCAATCCACTGAGTTACACCAGCCAGGCCTCTCTTTATTTGCTTTTTAAAAAACTTTAAAAACTCATTCTTCATAAAGCAAGTTTCATTGTCATTCAACTTTTAATAACAACCTAGTCAAGAAGCAGCAATATGTGATGGAAGCAGAGGAAAGGGTTCTAATCCCGATTCTGACCTTGAGGTTAGCAGGAGAGTTTGCCACTCCAAAATATGCCTTTCTGGGATATTATTTTAAGCTGGTTATTTTTAAGAAATAAAGGCTTAGAAACAATTTCTTCTTCCTCCTAACTCCCTAAAAAGAATTAGGGTTAGAGAACCTGCTCCAGGAAGCAAGATTTCATCATGGATATCTACAGTTTTATGTGAGCTAAGTGTGATAGACCAAGAGGCACCTACCAAGTCCCACTTGATAAATGTCCTCTCAACGTCTCATTGTCAAAGATGGCCCAGCAAACATTTAGTTACCAAACATGTGCTTTTCTATCTCCATGTGAATTGCCTTCCTGCTCTTTGAAGTCCCAAACCACAAACCCTTCTCCTTAGCTCAAGATGGCAAATAAGCCTTAATTTCCTGAACCATAGTCAAGCCTCAGATTCTTATGGAGCCCCTGTGTGTACATTTGATTCTCTCCCATCAATTCGTCTCATGTTAATCCAGCCAGAAGAACTTGGAGAGATAGAAGGAAAAATAGTTTTTACTCTCCCCTACAGAGGCATGAGTAAAGAGTCTGTGTCCCAGATTAAGCCAACCTATGTCCCCCCACTAGTTCTGGCATCTTGGACAACCTTTTGACATCTCATTGCTACAATTTCTGCTTCTTTAAAATGAGGTTAACAACAGAATCAACGTCTTATGGTCAATTAAAATCAATTACTTGTACAGGGTTTCTTAACCATAGCACTATTGGCATTTGGGGTTGGATAATTTTTTGCCGTGGAAAACTGTCCTCTGCATTTATCAGTGTCCTTGGCTTCTACCCACTAGATACCAATAATGATTTTAAAACGCCTCTAGATATTGTCAGATGTTCCCTGGGGCAAGGCAAAATCACCCTCAGTTGATAATCAGTGCTTTAGGGCCTGGCAAGTATCAGTTCCTGAATAAATGCACATTCATCTTCTCTATAGTTGGTCTTATCTGTTGTTCAAATGAAGAAACCCTCACCTAGCCTTAAGAAAGTAAATACCATTGTAGGCTTTAGGCAAACTAATGTAAAATGTAGGACAAAAGTAACTGTTGATTGCCTAAGTATCAATTTCTTGATACTTATATGTACACATTAATCCATATAATTTTCACTAGTGCCTTAGGAAATCAGTAGTAGGGTTTCTGTCAAGTTCTTTCCCATGAAGAGACTGATGAATCGAAGATACTTGTAACATGAAAGTTGAGTTGCATGTGAACGTGTTTGCTATCACCTTAAAACAAGTTTCAAAATTCCAGCAAATATGCACACGTCTTAAATGAACAAATCAACATATTTAGGCAACATGCAGTTTCCAGGGCTGTGAACCAATCTGTGAAGCTGGGATCAAGTTGTGGTCCACAGAGGGACACAGCCGACAGTCTCACCCACTGGTGCCACTGAATCCCTTCAGGTGTGAAGCCACAATGTGTGGTTTGGTGGAAGACTCTTGGAGTTTTGCACTTAGAATGTGTCCTACGTGATTCTGCCTTGAATGCTTCATGAACAACTCAAGTGTGTGTGTGGAGTTTTGAAACATTTTAATTCAGCTTAATCAACTAAATGCCTTTATCACAAACATCCCTGCTCACTAAACACACCTGGCCCAGGTTAAAATCAATAGTCAGTAGGGATAAAGTTCTTCCAGGTTTTGCATATGGCCGGTGGCCTGTAGTCCGTTTGGGTCCATGGGTATACTTTTACGTAGATGGCAATTCCAAATATTTGACTGAGTTATAGCAACCTCTTGTGAATACTGCATTGCAGCAAGAATACAGCTGTCAGATTGGACTTCTGACAGAAAGGTCATTAAAAAGCGATGAATCTTAGTTCTAGAATTACCCCGTCCCCTTGTCATTTCATGTTTCACCCAGTAACACATCTCTATATGGGAAAAAGCACATGAGTTAATGTGTTATTATTACATCCATTTTAAAGAAGTCACCAAGGCTCAATAAGGCTAAGTAACTTAGTCCAGGTTTCGGTGGGACACCAAGCAAGCAGTGGAGTGGAAGTTCATGCCTAGACCCGTCTCCCTGCCTGGGCTCCCTCCTACTGGCTGACTAGTGACACTGAAGGAACTGTCCCACTGCGGTGGCTTTGTTAATGGTGGTCAACAGAAATTAGACTTAATTAGGAACGATTTTGTTCTCTGTGGAATAGAAAGGATGGCCTGTATTTACATCTGCTTTAAAGACTGATCATTACCAGAGAGGAGGGGAGAGGTAACCATGTGAAAAAGGTGAAGGGATTACAAAGTACAAATTGGCAGTTACAAAGCAATCACAGGCATGTAAAGTATCACAACATAGGGAACAGAGTCAATAATATAATAATATGTATTGTGCCAGGCAAACACTGGAAATATCAAGAAACACTTTCTAAAGTATATGACTGTCAAATTACTATGCTATACATGTGAAACTAATACAAAATAATATTGAATGTAAACTAATTAAAATAAATTAAAAAATAAGTGAATTTATAAATGTTAGGCAAATTAGTCACAAAGAAATAGGAAAAAACTGTATATTTTTAAAAGATTCTGTATTGCTTCTTTCTTCAAAAATGCTTCATCAAAATTCTTCTCTCCAAGCCACATCAGAGACACCTTATCCTATAAAAGTCCTATAATTAATTGTTTATCATAAGTTACCCATCCTGGTCAGTAGAATTATATCCCATCCCTGGAACATAATCTAGGTGAATAGATTTAAGAAGAAAAATATTTTGATATCAATAATTTAGCAACTTGGAGTCAATTTTATGTCTCTAAGGACTCTCAGACCAGGTGTCAGTTACACAGAGCTGACGATTTGTCTTTGTTACAAATGTACTTTGCTTTCCCCTCAGCAGCCCAAAACCCTGCACCCTGGTGAGAAAAGACATTCCTTTCTCAGGGCCACCTAGCTGTCATTCCTTATTACAGCACCCGATTCTACTGTGTCATGTTCACAGTGTGCGTAATTGGGCATGAGTTTACTGGCACCTTTTGCTAGGCAATTTGCTTTTATAAAATAAGTTACAGGGTTATAAATTTACCAAAATAATCCAAAGGCATTATTGCTTTCTTGGAGAATTTAATTGGTAAAGGGGAAGGTTTTTTTTCTGACACAACATTGAACATTTCAAAAACACAGTTGCCCTTTTACTGAAAAGCTAACATTTTCCTCTAGATTCCTGATTTTCATACTCATAGAGCCTTGGTAAGCTAAACTTTAACTTTAGGTTTAAGACTATAAATATTTGCCATGGACAGAAAATTTTAAAAAGGAACAGTAGTGGTTTTAGGTGTCAAAAAGATTTGTGTGGTGGAAGAAAGGCTACTGGGCTGAAACTCAGGGGAAGTTGTGTGGTTGTTTGATTTATCACTGTTTGGCTATGAAACCTCCAACAAGTCCCTTATGCCTTCTGGACACTAATCTCTTCACCTGTGAAGCAAGGGGATTAGATTAGGCGATTTTAATATTTCCCCAAAGTATGACAATGTGCGATGGTAGTAGAGGCAATTTTAAAATAAAAGGGGGTGTAGTTATTTAGTGAAGGAGGTTATTTAGTTATTTTAGTGAAGGAGACTGTCACAATGTAAAACACTAACTAATGGCCACTGTTGTAAATATGGTTTGAAACAAAAGTTTATTTTAGGGTTTTGATAAAACATAAATCTCAAAATGCACCACACTATTTCTTTAACTCTTAAAGTAGAAAATTAAGGGTTGAATGCTTCAAGATAAACAACAAAATGAGAAAAAAGTCATTATGTCAATCAGCCAATGTCAAAGCCATCATTCTTAATTTAGATTGTGAAGAATTTAATTTATTAAAAAATGGCTTCAAACTACTTGCTCAACACTAAGTAAATGTCCATTGTTAATAATAAAATATCTCAATAGTAGCCCTTTGAGAAAAGCAGTGCATTTCAGGTATATCCAAATTTGAATAAAACATTAGAACATGATGGAGGAGAAGAAAAATGACTCTGTGTAAAAATAAAAACAATTAATATGTCTGGAAGAAATGAACCTGAGGGGGTGGTGAAATGCATTATATAAGTTTGTTTTCTGCTATCTGTCGCTTCAGTAAACAAAAATTTGAAGGCTGGCCTCTCAGAGATTTGCCGCGTCCAAGGTTCAATCTAGCGATCAATTCAGATATCAAATTTAGCTGAGTGGGACAAGCAGACTACATCAAGGTCGTGTCATCCAGTGGGAAGAGAACAGGTAGTCACTATTTCTGCTGGAATTGTTTTTGCAAGACAGCATTCATCTCTGGGAGAGGTGGAGTGGAGTGGAAGGAGCTTTGCAGCCAGGGAGACATGTCAGGCTACAGAATTTGCAAGGCCCAGAGCAACATGAAAATGCAGGACCTTCTGTTAAAAAAATGATTATAAAATTTAGGATGCTTACAGCAGAGCATTAAGCCCTTCTGAGCCCGGAGCTCGGTGTGACAACACAGGTCAAACACCCATGAAGCTGATCCCCACAGACATTTTGAACTCCTGCTCAGTTACTTATTAGCTCTGCATGAGATCTCGTGCCAGTCAACTGGCTGCTCTTAGGCTCTTCATTTGTAAAGTAGAACCATAAACATGCCTTTATAGGCCTATTGCAAAAGTCATTTTAGCCAGTATGTACTATTTTACAGGTAAATAGTAGATCCTCAAAACAATAATTGCCATTATCATTAGCTTGAAGGGTGGGTGATTCCCAATATCAAATGTCTTGATAAACCACGCCTTTTTCTTCTTTTTCTATAGGTCTTAGAAAAGGGATGGACAAGGTGAGCGATGACAGCAGGGACATTGCCTAGAGGTATTGTCACAGCACTGCACTCCCCAGGTACCAACTAACCAAGCTTTGATCTCTGACAGAAAGACTTGAATAGTTTTCTTCTAGGTTTATTACTATATTTTCTTCTAATGCTTTCTTGTAAGAATATAAGACTGCTATAGAAAGCCACACTCATACTAATGTGGGTCTCCAATATTCAAAAGTGGTAAGTGGCTTTTTCCTAGAAGAAGATTATTGTAAACAATATTTTGTTGTTCTCAGTTCACCATAGGATCTGAAGGATTAGAACACCTGAATAATGAAACAACAGGAAACATTCTCTAGGAAAAGTAGGTCTAATTTGCATGCAACCTGTACCATATAATTTTCAAGAACACATGGTGTCTATACTTCAATGTAGTAGTAAATTTAACTTCTGTTACCATGGGAATACTCATTTATGCTCTGACTTAAACCAATGAGAAAATGAACTTGTGACCTGTCCCACTCTTGAAAGCAAAGATTTCTGAACGTGTTAAAATTCAATGCAAACTCTATTGTTTATAGCATTTTTAAAGGCACTTATTAGTAGAATAGGAGGAAGAAATGTAAGAGGCAAACAAAGAGAAAAGGAAAAGCTCTTAAGGTTGTTTTTTACTCTCCGTACCTTTTACAACTTAGAATATACTAGCTAGAAAAGAAACATGATTGAAGAAAGGAAGAGAATTTCTAAGCTTAAGCAATCAGGTAACTATTTCAAGGTCTGAGTGGCTGAAACAATCATGGTGACAGATTGATGTACTGTTTTAAGTATTGGTTTGTTTGGGGCTAATTCTATTAACTTCATAGACTGAAGAATCCAAGACCAATATAAGGGTCTATTAAGAGGCTCAATTCTGAGGATGATCAAGATTTAAGATAATGAGCTTATTCACATTTCTCCTCTCTTCAAAAATAAGCTAGTCACACAATATCTTGTCCTTACTAAATGCACTATCAAACATTTTTAATAGTGGCTCTGTTGTCTACTTTCTCCTCATCTTTATTATTACAAGGATTGCAAATATTAAACAGGAAGAAATACACTGTGTGGATGTTTTACCAGTCATCTTCAGATAGGCTGTTGAAATCTGGTGCATTTACTCTTCTGTGCGAGCACCATTACCTTTTCTCCTGATAACATATAATGCATTGCATCACCCAGTCAAAGCCATTTTGTAAGGCTTCAGGCACTCATTTTAAGCAAAATGCCTATTTTAAGTAACTAGTATATCCTCAAAAAATAATAGCTAGTATCATTAGTCTGAAGGGTGGGTGACTTCCTATAGCAATTCTATTTATAAAGCAACAATGCTATTTTCTTTCCTTATAGGTCTTAGAAAAGGAATGAATGAGATAAGCAATGACAGCAAGAACAGCCGCGAGCAGGAAGGAGCATTTCAGCACTATTCTCCTCAACTGACTAGCCACGCTTTTCTCTCCAACACACAGACTGCAGTATTTTCCTTCAGTGTTTCTCACTGTATTTACTTACTCTAAGCCAGGCATTCATTCCTGTGTTCTTATTAATAACTTTAATATGTACTATTGAAAACATCCATTGGAACAATTCCATAAAAAATCTTTTCCAACATCAACAATAGGTTTAAAAGATAACCTGCTACTTATGACATTTATTTTTAAAGAGAATTGTGCTCTTTTGGTTCATTTGTTTATTTTATTTTTGTTTTCAGAAAAGTAAATCACACAGAATTTGTGAGAATAGTAGTAAATGTTTTAACTATTTTATCATCTTCAGTGTCATTCAACAGTTGATTCATATGTAACTGGCATTATTTTAAGAGCTGTGGTGGATTCCAGAGAAAGAGGAGTTACCACCACTGCCCTCAAAGTAAGTCTAAGTGGGGAAGTAGAAACTGCAAAGACAGCACTGCTGCGAAGGGCAGTTGTTAGGACAAGAAGTGATGTCAAGAAAGGACCCATAGCAGACTGAAAGGAGAAGACCCAGCAAAGCATGCGGGGTTAACAACGTCAGAGCACAGTTGGGTGAGAGTGAGGGAGGTTGTATCAGTAAAGATTGGGGAGGTGGAACAACTTGGAATAATAACCAAACTCAGAATGTATACAGCGTTACAAAAACATTTTCCAAACAGCAAACTGAAGTGCCGAGAGTTCACAGAGATGGAGCCAGGACTGAAGAAGAGACCTCTTAAACGTCTCTCACACCACACACAACGCCTGCATCCCTCAGCCTTTGGCATGTGCTGTTCTAATGACTTTTTTTCAGTGTTCCACAAAATAACCTTAAAAATCAAGTTTTTTCATCCTCTTCCCTGTGTTTTGAAGAGTGACAAAATGAAAATAAAATTCATCTTCAAAGAGAATTCATTTAATGGTTCTGTGGATGTCTTGATCAAAAAGAACTGTCTTTCAAGTGATGACTTTTTCTTTTTGTTAACGAACCTCATTTACAAGTGATTGCTCTTTTAACCTTTACTGCTCTTTGCTTAATCAACATACAATGAAGAATAGCACGAGAGTAGGAGAAACATAAGGACATACAAGTAACCTTCCAGAAAGCAAAGGAATTCAAGACAACTCACAGGATTGCACTTTTCATTCAATGAAACAGAGCTAAGAATCAAAGTCAAATTCATCAGCACATAGTGGGTGGGGAGGCCGTGTAAAGTCTAGGCAAGCTGCAAAACCGGTGAGTCCAAAAGGCAAAAGATTAGCCCACAAAGACAAACAAATGCCCTCATAGGCCAATAGTGGTACAGTGGAGTGGTTAAAATGTGGATTCCAGAGCTACCAGATTTTCTGCACTCAAGTCCCAGCTCCAAGGGTTGTGCTGTGCCCTTGGTCAATGTACTTAACCTGTGGCCTCTGTTTTCTCAACTGTAAAGTGGGGATAATAACAGCACCATCCCTGCAGGTATGTTGTGAGACTCAAATGTGTTAATTTTTAATGCTATGTAAAGTGCCTACCACAGTGCCTGACACACATTTCAGTGTGATAGAAGAGTCTGCCACCCTCTCCTCCTCTTTTCCTCCTCCTTTTTATTCTCTCTTCTGCTCTTCATTCTGTTTCTGCCATTTTCTACCTTGAAGTTGATGAACCTTTTGCCTTTATAGTTTCTACATCTATAAATGCAGAATAATAGTACGGAAGTGGAATTTAGTTGTCTGTTGTTTAATTAGCACCCATTCTGTTCTTCCTAACAAGACCTCATGGCCATGGGACATAGAGGATGTGGACCTACAGCATTAGCTGCAAGAGTAGATCTTTATTGGTGAGCGAATCATTGTAAGCCTATCTGCTTTGCCAGTGAATTGCTCTAGAAACATAAGATACTTCCTGGGAGAAGGTTTTTGGTCCAGGTGTGACCCAAATTTACCTAAACACACTGAAGAAAGAATTAATACCTATGCTTAAATTCTCCCTCTTAGCCATCAGCTAAGAACAATGAAGAGGGACCGCAGACCACCTGGCAGTGGCTTTGGTTAAATGGGAAGGCCACGATGACACAAAGTAAAGGGCTGGGTTGAAAACAGCACAGAAAAATGGGGCCAGAGACTTGATCTCCCCAAATGCTACTGGAATTATTTTTCTAGCTTTACTGAGGTACAATTGACAAACTGTAATATATTTAAAGGGTACAACTTAAAGATTATTATGCGTAGGCATTATGAAAGTATTCCCGCAATTGAGTTGATTGAGTACCGCATCCATCATCTCACATATTTACTTTTTGTGTGGATGAAGGGAACACTTAAATGCTACTTTTTTTTAGCAAATTTATATTGTGGAATACTATAGTTAGCATGCTATATATTGGATCCTCAGACCTTATTCACCTTATAACGGAAAGTTTGTACCCTTTACCAATTTCTTCTTAATTGCCCCGTTCTGCATTTAGCATAATGCCCTTCAGACTCATCCATGTTGTCACAAATAGCAGGATATTATTCTTTCTGTGGCTGAATATTGCTCCAGTGTGTGTGTTTGTGCCATATTTTATATAGCCATTTATCCATCAAGAGACATTTAGGTTGTTTCCATACCTTGGCTCTTGTGAATAATGCTACAATGAACATGGAAGCACAGATATCTGAGACAATGATTACCTTTTCCAGGGGTAGACGACCAGAAGTGGAACAGTTCTCTTGTCATAAATTAATTGACCATATATATGGGTTTATTTCTGGGCTCTCTATTCTCTGCCATTGATCTATGTGTCTATTTTATGTCAATATCACATTGTTTTGATTATAAAACTTTATGATATAGTTTTGAAATCAGAAAGTGTGGTGCCTCCAACATTTTTCTTCAAGACTGCTTTGGCTTTGGAATCTTTGGTGGTTTCATATACATTTTAGAATTGTTTTTTCAATTTATGTGGAGGATGCTATTGGAACTTTAATAGGGATTGCACTGAATCCACAGATCACTTTGGATAATATTAACATTTTTAAAAGATTTTATTTATTTATTTTTAGAGAGAGGGGAAGGGAAGGAGAAAGAGAGGGAGAGAAACATCAGTGTGTGATTGCCTCTCCCACACCCCCTACCAGTGACTTGGCCTGCAACCCAGGCATGTGCCCTGATTGGGAATTGAATGGATGACCCTTTGGTTCACAGGCTGGCACTCAATCCATTAGGCCACACCCACCAAAGCAACATTTTAACAATATTAATTCTTCCAGTCCATTAACACAGAATATATTTCCATTTATTTGTATCTTCTTCAATGTGTTAGTTTTCAGTATGTAGATTTTTTACGTCCTTAGTTAAATTTATTCCTAATTATTTTTTTTTCTTTTGGATTCTATTGAAAATGAGATTGTCTTCTTAATTTCTCCACCTGGTAATTCATTATTAGTGTACACAAACACAACCGCTTTTTGTATACTGATTTTGTATCCTGCATTTTTACTGAATTTGTTGATTAGTACTAACAGTGTTCTGATGAAGTCTTTAGGGTTTTCTGTGCATATCATGTCATCTGCAAACAGAGACCATTTTGCTTTCTCTTTTCAAACTTTTATTTCTTTGCCTTTTAGTTCTTTATCTTGCTTGATTTTTCTGGCCAGGACTTCCAATACTATGTGGAATAAAAGGGGTGAGTTGTGAGCATCCTTGTCTATCTCTTGACATTCGATGAAAAGCTTTTAGCTTTTCACTGTTAAGTATGATGTTAGCAGCCGCTGTGTTATATATGGCTTTATTATGTTGAGGTATGTTCTCTCTATACCCACCATCTCAAAAATTTTTATCATGAAAAGATGTTAAATTTTGTCAAATCTTTTCTGCATCTATTGAGATGATCATATGACTTTTATCCTTCATTTTGTTAATACAGTGCATGACATTTATTGATTTACATGTATTGGACCATCTTTACATCCCAGGATAAATTTCTCTTGATTGTGTGTTTGACTCTTTTGATGTACTGCTGAATTTCTACTGTTGAGATTTTTGCATCTGTGTTCATCAGGCATATTGGCCTATAATTTTCTTCCCTTGTGTGTCTTTGTCTGGCTTTAGTATCAGGGTAATGCTGACCTCATAAGATGAGATCAAAATGTTCCCTCTTCTTTAATTTTTTGGAGGAGTTTGAGCAGGGTTGGCATTAATTCTTTTTTAAATGTTTGGTAGACTTTACCAATGAAGTGATATGGTCCTGGAGTTTTCTGTGTGGGAGGTTTTTGATTACTGATTCAATCACCCTATGTATCCAGACTTTCTGTGTCTTTATATTTTGCCTTCGTAGGTTATTTCTAAGAATGTATCCATTTCTTCTGGGTTATCTGATTTATTGTCATGTTATTGTTCACAGTACTTTTCTTATTACTCAGTATCCACTGAACTTTTACATTTCTAATGTAATTCATTTCCTTGCTCTTCCAACCCCTTTAAATGGACATTTGCTACCCAAAGCATCTTAACTGATACAAAGACTACCTCACAGTATTGTTGAAGATTGGAATGAGATACATAAAGTCCTTAGCAGAGAGAAGATAATATGTCCAGTGTGAATAAAGTAGAAGTTACTTTTACTCTGCTAACAGCCCCACAGGACTTAACATCAGATGGCAGTATTATCCTCCACGACTTTGGCAGGCTGAAGGCAGCCTTTAATCAGAGATAGTGTCTAACCATTGCGTTTATGTATTCAACTATAGTTCCACATTACCTGGCAGATTTCATACATCTGCTTTGAAAAAAAAAAGATATTTCCTTTTCATTGTCCTCACATCTCCTTACCTGAATTTTAAGAATTGCCTCTATTCTAAGAAACTCAATAATTTCAATTTATACTTTTCCCACGTTTTTTCATAATTTTTTAAACTTGGAATATTTTTCTTAAACCTAAGTCTTTCTAGATTTTCTCCCATATTTGTTGAAGTCACACAAAGAAAACAACGATATGTCAAATCTGATTACCCATTCTGACATCAAAAAAAATTAAAGAAGCAATCTGAAAATTTTGAAAAGAACAAAATGACAACAATAGGACATTCTTGATTATATTTCAGTCTATTTTCAACTCTGACCATATGCTTTATTTATTAATGTCTAGTTTTCTTCCAGAAAAGGAGGTACTTTAAAGCAATCCCAGAGTTCGTGCCACAAGATAATATAGTCCTCCTTGATCAGCAATATTGTATAATAAAAATAACATGTAATGCAATTATAAGCAATCAAGCTAAAAAAATAGGTATCATTCTTGTTTAGGGTGACTTATAAATATCAATCTGAGCCAGGAAAAATAAAAGTGAGCTCTGAAGTCAAATCATTTCAACTTCCCTATGGCACAAGCAGTGTTCTTTTTCAGGTTTCTGTTTACATGATTTTAGCTATTTTCCATTTTAGTGACTATGAAATAAGAAGTCTGATTTACTAAATTTAAGTAGAAAAATTGTCATTGGCTCATGTCCAAGGACTGTTGTCAAGGAAAAAGAAACTCACAACTTAGTTTGGTCTCCTGCAAAGTTTGTGACTCAGTTCTACACTGGGATCTAGTGAAATTCATTTCACAGCTTAGCTGTCTATGCCCAGGCTGTGAATCACTCAGTCACTGCACCAAGGAAAGCAACTATGACAACTGATCTGAACGTCCTTGTGAGAAGCACTGAATGACTTCCATTTGTTTGCTCACTCACTCACTCACTCACTCACTCAACTCACACATTTGTTCTATATTTCTTCCAGCAAACACTTTTAATATACTTTGTGTAAGGCATGCTTTTCTAGTTACTGAGGATACAGTAATGCATGAAACAGAATTTGTTCTCTTATGAAGCTTGTATTTAATGTGGGCAGTGGTGTGCTGGCAACCAACTCTGAATAAAAA